GTATTACTCATTGGATTTGTGCATTCATATTAAGAATGAGCTGTGGGGAAATGAGAGTCAGAAGTGAGTCTGATGCCATTAGGCGTGATTGGAACAGGGATTTCTCATTGATTACCTCAGACTTCTGTAGTTTATTTTTATTATGGTTTGCAAATACTGAAGCATTATTCAAGGAAACATGATTCTTTCAAATACATGATTCAAGAGGGCACTCTAACATCGGATTTAATGACAATAAATTCTGATTTAAGTTATTTTTCTTTTCCTAAGTTTGCAGTTTGCATATGTCTAGATTTATGATGTAGCTGCAACCTGTTCCCCCCCCTCTCCCCCACAGAAATAGCTCATTTCTGCCAGAAGAATTCTGGAATTCTTGATTAAAAATGTGGCTTCTATATTTAATTGTTAAAAAATTACGCCTGTGTGTGAAAGCTGTAAAAATGAATCTTGGTATTTTTTTTTTGTTGTTGTTTAATCTTTATTCATCCTCGTATCCTTAACTTAAGAAGACTTTATTAGTTGTTGGCTCTTTCTTCATTCTGTTTTTTTATTTCTTCCTCTTATTTCAGCATTTGTTTTTATTTTTTATAGTGTCTTACAGTTTTGATTATGTGCTCTCACAAATTCTTTTTTGTAAACTGGTAGCTTTATTTTATCAGCAAACCTTGTAGGAAGACTTAGTGTTTTGCAGGAATGTCTTTTTTCTCTGTAGATTTTTTTTTTAAACATGTATTTAACTTTAAACCCCTTGTTTTATTTAGCTGTCTGTATGCTGACACAGCATCATTTTTATTTCCAGTAAATGAAAGAAAAACACATCCACCCATATGGTTTTGAGACTGAAAAACAGCCTTGGTCTACAACAATTCTGGCTGTTTAGTAGTTTTAAGTACTTAATTTAGCATTTTTATTATATTTCATCACTTGGGAAATGAACACAGCCCTTTTACCCATTCAGTAGTTCTTCTCGTTGGGTTATTTGTTCAGGTGGGATTTTTGCTGATTTCTTTTTCTTAGTATAATGTTGGGTTTTCTATTACAGACTTCGGTTGAAATGTGGAACTGATGTTTTTGCTGTGAATTGCTGAGTAGTCCCTGAAAAATCATTGTAATACAGCCGAGGGAACTGCTATGATTGGTTAAAAAAAAAAACAAAAACAACTTAAGTTGGTTAAGTTTAAGTTTAAAAGTTAAAAAAAGCCAACTGCTTTACCAGTAAATGTGAAGGGATACTTCTTGGTTTACTGTGTGTGCTGTGCTCTTTGAAAATAAAGTATGTTTTGCAAGACCCTACTGAAGCCTGTGGAATAAAGTTTTGAGGTGACTGGAGGTCTTTGCAGTGTCAAAAATAGAAAATTAATGGCTTTCTCCCTGAGGACTGTGGGCTGCTTCTGAAGAAACCAGAAGTAATTTAAAGGACTGATCTACTGTCAGTAGGTTTGCTGCCCGTGGTCTTGTCATCCCATAGGAAAATTTCAGTATATTTGAAGTGAACATTTGAGGGTCACTGAACTAAAAATATGGATTTAGATATGACGGTATTGACCAGTGAAAACGAGTTTATCAAATTGGGGGGTTTCTGCCTTCTTTCTGTTATCCCTTGATTTGGGCTGTTGAGCCTTGAATCTCTGCTCTAAACAAGTGCTTCTGGTAAGCACTTCATCTCTGAGTGAGAGCAGGGGGTTTGTTTTTGCATGTTTTCCCATTGCTCTCTAATCAATTCTAGCTTTGAAAAATAAAGTGTGAGGAGGGAACAGAATGAACAATGGGAGGATCGGCGGAAGTTCTGGGAGAGAAATGAGTGGTGTGGTGTATAGCCCAAAATCCAAAGGGTCTTCTCTGTCACCATCACTCTAGCCTTCTCAATGCTGATCAGTCTTTTTTTCTAGGACTACGTAGCTCTTACATACGTAGTTCAGAGCATGCACAAATCAAACTAACTCATATGTCCAAATGTGCTGTAACTCAGATTCTCTACAGAGGTCCTCATCATTTGTTTCCCTATATGTTTTATTGTTTCTTCCTTTTCTTCAGCACGTGTGGAAGCCAAGTTTATATCCTGACTACCTTTGTGCTTAATTCATATGTAAGTTTTGTGAGTATAATCAACACTGATGAAGTTTATTAGTGAACATAAATCTCACCCTGCATCAGTTCTGAACAAGAACAGAACAGGTAATGGTCACGATGTGTGAATACAAATGCTATTGAGTGACAAAGATGATCAGAGTCTCTTGCTGCTTCAGTGCTTTAATTTCAGTTGTCAGTCTGGTATGTCAAGCAAAGTCCAGGGAATGCAAGGCTAATAGTCGCAAAGTAGCACTGTTGTGTGGTAATTTAAAATAACTGTGTATTCTATTAAGTCTTGAGATTATTTTTTTTTTTAATAAAGTGTTACAGAATAAACAATATTGAAAGAAACAGAAGACCAATACCAGAACAAAAAAATCTCCAGCCCCCTCTGAGTGACAGCATCACTGATTTAAAAGGAAACTGCATTTATCACCCTGAAAAGGCGTAGAAACAGCTTCTACTGTGAAAACAATCTCTGGTTTCAGGGACTGGCTAGTTTTTACCAAAGTGAGTTAAGTATAACAGGTTAAATCCACACTGATTTAACAAATGCTTAAGCTTCCTAGAACTGCCTTATTGTTGTAAGCCTCTCAGACGTGCCATCTAAATTAGGTTGTTTGCTTGTTCTAATAAAAATCCTGATCAGATAGAACTCTTCTGAGGATTATTTGTCTGAGTGGAAAATTAGGCAGCCTAAGCACACTTCCAGGAAACAGGAGACTTGGGTGCTGTTATATTTGCCTGATACTGGTTGCTCTTCCAAATGATCTATAGTGAATCTCATGCCTCCTCTTCCTCTGCATCCCATAATGAGTGATACTCCTGCTGCAGTTCCCATGGCTCATGGTGCCCTTAATTTGGGCTTCCACTCACCTTTATGCCCCTGCCCTCCTCTGGTTCTGGGAAGGGTGGCTGATGGCTTCTTGGGTGGGACTGGGAGCAAGCAGGAATTATTTGGGCTTTCTCCACTGCTTTCATCTTTTTGTGCTCCTGTGTGGGTGTGCAGGGAACTTTTTATCAGTTAGCTGAGGAAGGTTTCCTCCTTACAGCAGCATAATATACGTAGTAGTAAAACTATTATATGGTGAAATCCTCTCAGTTGGCAGCTGCATGTCCGCATCTACTGCTGGAAGAGTGCATTTTCAGATGGCTGCTGCTGAGGGTGGCAGTACTTGTGCCATTACACAATGAATGGAGCTAGAGATAGGTCAGATGCTCACATGTGTGCCATATTCTTACTGATGACTGGAAGACATAGCACCTGTGGTGCTTCATGACTTTTTTTTTTTTTTCTTTCTTTCTTCAGTCTTGTGTTTTTCTTAGCTATTTCTACATCAAGTAGTTCTTACCATTTGATGTCTCCTGGTTATAGCTTTTGAACTGTATTTGGATTCTGCTTTTTATATGAGTGTTAGTCTGGTTCTTCTCTATATTTGATGATTTCCATTTTTTTGTAGGACAGAAGTTCAAACTATCACTGTTAAATATAGATTGGCTACAATCCAGTTCAGGCACTGTGGCCTTCTTACTGTATTATTTACTTCAATTTTTATTTTTTACCCTTTTTTACATAGTCTGTGTTAGTTCCTTTTGGAATTGTTACTAAATCAGCATAAATCAATGTGACTTTTTTTTTTTTTTTTCTCTTCAGAAATTCTTTGGGTAGATCAGTCATGGTCTATGTTTGTAAGGCTATGTTCTCATTTCTTGCTTTTATATTTTAATTATTCTTAGGTACAAAGAAGATAATCTGAGGGAAGGACTGTTTTCCTTAGGCCTAACTTTCGTCAAAATGGCATGTAAGATAGGAAAAAGTTTCATGAGACTTGGCAGCTCTTCCTGTTACAGCTCACTATCTTTACAAGCCCAAATGCCTTTCAGCCTGACGTTACCATCAGTTTAAAGTACAGTTACTGTCTTGATCTTCTCTTTCAGAAGCTGTTTGGCAGGGATCAGCTTAACCAACTCAAGGCCAGCCGTGGTGCGAGTTACATTTGTCTGGAAAGCAAGCTACTGAAATTCATAGATTCTTCCTAGCCCAGTTTTTTTTGGGTAACTTTTCAAGAGTCAGAGTTGAAAACTTGACGTTTATCCTCTCTAAATATGAACATCAAGACAAAACACTGCTTTCTCTATCTATAGGGAAAATACATGTTAAATTATGTGTCAACAAATACGTTGCCTTCACCATGGCAATCAAATCTCTTTATCTACCAATTAAGCAAATATAATAAAAGGTTATTAGTCCAGCAACAAAGCTGTTGAACAACAGTACTGCTTTCTGCCTCTTATCACCAAATCATGAAAAACAATTGTGAAATCAGACCAGTCTTGTGAAGTCAAAAAGCAGATCAGAATGGATGTACAGAATACGTGAGGTGATTCTACAAAGGAAGCCTAAATTATTCGTTGAAAGATTAGTGACAGTCCTTCCTTAGCCCCTAAACTGAAAGGCTTTTCTTTGCATCACCTTACATAGAATGCTACTTTTGCTGCAATACACTAATGCACGTAATTCAGACCACTAGAATTAAAAAGCTGCATGGGAGAATGGTGGTGTTCCTGCTCAAGCTCACCAGCTTGGTAACATTAATCAGCTACAGTGAGGCTTGGACGTTCAGCGTGTGCTGAACACTGACAGTACAGCAGGAACCTGAAAATCAGGTAGTCAATATGCTTCTTCAGCTGGGACTGATAATGAACAGCACAAAAGAGCCACCTGAACTGAAAAGCATTAAAGCTGCTTCTTAGAAGCAAGAAGGCTGTGTTGCCTGCTTTCAAAGTGTTTATTGGAAAGTGCATGGGAACTGTTGAGTCAGGCTTGAATCCTTGATTGATCACCTGGGGAAAGGACTGAGTCAGCCATGGGAGCACAGGTGAAGGCAATTCAGCTGTGTGACCAGAAGGGGTGGAGCCTGGCTGCGTCTCTCCTAGACACATTTAAGGGCTGACTGCCACTAGGGAAGGGTCTTTTTCTAGAGATCTCTCCCTGGTGGAGCTTTCCCCTGCAAACCTAGAATCTGCTGATACAGGTGAGCAATCTTCTTCCATTCTTTTATAGCACCTTTCTATTCTGCTGGTTCTTTTGTCATCATGCCTTTGTAGTAATACCTTTTCCATTGTATTGATCTGTGTAGTTACTACAGAAAGTGATAGAGAAGAAGTGTGTAGTCTTATTTAAATTGTTTTCTGTATTGTAGTGCTGTTAAACTCTCTATTATTTCTATATACATTAGAGGAGATCAGTTCAGTAGGTGGACTTAACTGATTATGCTGATAAAAGTAATTTGAAAAATCGTTTGTTTGTTCCCTCAAACACTGTGGCCTATATGCAGCATAGTTCTGATCTAAATGCTGTATATATATATATATATATATATATATATATATGTATAATATAATTATTATATATATAAAGGTACTAAGAAGCTATGGTATTAATATACTTGTTCTTTAAGAAAAACTTGATACTATCTGATTTTAAAATGTTTTTCTGCACGTTCCACAGATGATCTGTTTGTGGTTGGTTGATATATTTATAAGGAGCCAGTAAGTTGCACAACCTGCAAAGACTGTTATCGTTTTACCTTCAAATTGTTCTTGCTATTTTCAGTTGCCTTCCACTTTCTCGATCAAACTCTATTACTTGCTTCTCCAGATAGAGGTATAAATTTTGTTTGCGTATTAGCAGTGCTCTATTTGCTGCTTAACCTGCTCTGACCTCCACCACCCACGCGTTTTTTTTCCTCCCTTTCTTGCTACCAGGTTTTTGAAGTTTTAGTTTAAATTAGGATATTCTCGACTTCTACATTAGATACATTTGCTTAAGTCATAGAAGCCATAGTTTGAAGATAGCAGCAGGAGGATTAATTCAGCACCTTCGCCAAATAGATTAACTTGTACTTAAAAGAAGCCTTATTCCTAGATTCTAAAGCTCCTTATAGAAAATCATCTTCAAGATGTGAGACTGAGGAAAACAAACAAACAAAAACCCAATGAAGTATGTGATATCTTCCAAGGGGTGAAGTTTATAAAGACCTCTCTTAATGCATTCTGAAATGTATCTGGAGATACAGTCCGTACTACAGTTGCTAGTTGCCTCAAATAAAGAGCAGGAGGGAAAGCAGAGACTGAGACAATATGTTAACAGCTGGTAGAACTCTTGTGACTTGCAAAGTAGAACTAACTTTCTATCTCCTAAAAGAAGTCTAGATAGAGTGAGTAAAGATATTAACCTTTCCTAGTGATAAATCTCTGTGAAGTGTAATTGGTTTGAGTCTTCTATGCTTTTATATTTGCTGGCTCTTGGCTGCTTGAATAGTCTGTTGGCATTTGACCTATGGAAAATGAGGCTGATCTCAATGCTAAGGTTGTGCACGGCTCCTGCATCTGCAGGTGGATATTTGTATGACCATACGCAATTATCCTACTGCGCTATTCTGAGTTTCCCAGATTGCTCTTGCATAATTCAACAAAACTAACAAAAACAAAACCTGAACTAGTGTTTTTTCAAATTAGTCAGTATGCTGTCCATTTTTGTTTTTAAGTGCATTTATTTAATTTAGAAGCCTCATTTTTTCTGCTTGTTTGGTTTCTCAGTGAGATGGCGTTCATGCACTTAACTTTATTAGTATTCACTCAGTACGGGTAGTGTGAAAATATAGGAATAAATACCCTTCCAGCAGGTTGCAGCCTTCATTTTGTACATGAATCTTAGTGGAAGTTATGAAGAAATGGTACCATTTGAACTGATTGGAAAGAAAATTGAAACAATAATGAAGGTGCAGACTTAAATAATAGTAAACCTTCTGACTAGAAAACTGTCTTTTTACTGATGCTCTATTAAACTGCAGCAAAGCAGTCTTTAGTCTTTTACTGTTTGATGTTACGTGTTGCGGTGTTTGTAGTGCAATGTATGTTTAAAGTATGTCATAATCCTTCTGGATTTTGGTCAGTTTGATGCTTCTGTGTCTTTCTAGATGTAGCTCTGCTCCTGGGTGAGTTGTTAATGGTAAGGTAGCCAAACAGTCACTATGTTGTAGTATGCAATTCTACCTACTTAAATAGAGGAGCTACTCAACTATTAGCTTCTTTCTGTCATTATGCTCAATCTGCCTGACCCTCAAACAGTAATAATGATAGCATAAAGGGTGCAATGGGGAAAGTGGCTAAAAATAAATACTCATTCATGATAAATTCTCATGACCTCAACGGTGAGGGGAAATTACTTGCTTTTATTGTCAGATGAGCTAACCTTTCAATTTTCAGAGAAAGCTTTTACGATGAGATCAGAGGACAACGTCATGTGATAGGTTTTATTTAAAAGAAGCAAACCTAACATTCACTCCTGTTTGTTTGCTTCCTGGCACTAGGTAAACAGACAAATATTTCTTCTTTGAAGAAGAGCATCTGAGATATTGAGACAAATGAAATGCCTGGAGGATATAACTCCTTTATTCTATTACAGATTTCTCTAGATAAAATCCTAAGCAACTTCATCAACTGTATCTCAGAAATAGTTGGTAACATGAATTGTGACTGCATCCTGTTGTAACTCTTTAAACTTTGCTCCAAACCACGTGCAAAAGGACTTTGGCATCGTTAAGTTGGGAGCATTTGTTTGCCAGCTGTAGCAACTCAATGCCTTTTGGATGCTTATCTTCAGTGAAAAGTCATGATTTGGTCAGTGCGTTTCCCTGCATGGACAAGATATACTTCACCTTTTAATAAATAGCAGGCTTTTATTTGTGTCTCCAAATGTTTAAAGGATCCCTCAGAGTTCTTGCTAACCAACCAGTGCTGATGAGGGCACAGGGACTGAACAGCTGCAAGCTCATCAGCTATTTCCCATCCTGACCTGCATGTGACCAGCAGGAAATGGAGCTATGGGCCTGGTTCTATTTTATGCATTTTGTAAGTGAGAGCCTTCTGCTTTCTGATGGGCCCCTGCCCTTGGTTGTGGATGTGCTCTGTGGGTGTTTCCAGACTGACTTCTCATGACCTGGCTCCTGATGTTGCCTAGTTCTCAGCCCCAATATATGCTTACCATTAGCCTGTCTTAGTTTACTTCTCTTTAGGACTCTGCACTTTTGTTTGTTCTGTGAACTCCTGGTAAGGCTATGCTGCCAGCACTGTTGGTTCTGTAACTCTGTTTTGTTTAGATTTTTCTTCTGTGAGTTTGTTTGTCAATATGTTTTCATGAACTTGGGTGCATTTTCTACTCTTTTCCTCATGGTAATCAGGCAAGCAGAGATTTCTTTTGTGCCTGAAACCCAGACAGTAATTTGTCAGATTGTCGTAAAATAACAGCAGTATGTTAACATATATAACTCTGAAGCCATTATTAGAACTATTTCAACAAACTCTTGTTCAATTATTTATTTCAGATGGGATGTTATATTCATTGTGCTTTTGTGATAATCTTTCTTTCTTATTCAGTGCATAGGCTTGGTGTTTTGTTGTTTTTGCTACCCAGAATCTGCTGAGTAATAACATAAGGGTTTTGATGCTGCTTTTTTTATCAGTTTAATTGAGATTAAGCAACGGAGGTGTCAAGACTTACTGTAACATTGCTCCTTCCTGAATTCCTGACATCTGCACATGACTTTTGTTCCTTCTACCTTTCCTGGTCGATATACTATTGGAATTGGTACTTGTTTTAAGTAGGCTTCAACTATTTCCTTTGATATTTAATAATTTGTTGGGCACCTTCATTGTGAGAGCAGTAGCAAGTGTAAAAAAAAAAAAAAAAAAAAAACAAAACAAAAAAAAAAAAAAAACAGAATTGAGAAGAACATGTATCATGAACAAGTTGTATTTAATTTGTGCCTAATCTTGCACATATTTTGTTTTGTTCGTAATGCATGGAGACTAACACAGGTGGTCTGATCTGGAAGAAATGGTAGAATAAATGCTGTACTTTGGCAAATGTCCTTTAATACCATGTCATGACCTTTAATACCATTAGGACAACATGCCTCTGAAATTACTCTTATTTGATGAGGACATTTTAAAAGATGAATTTAGGACATAAGTTTTTTTTCCTTTTTCAGGAGTTATGTAATGGAGAGGAGCTACACTGATACAGTGAGAACTAAATCTTTGAAGGCCATAAAAATGGCAATCTGGAGGAAAAAAAAAAAGTAAAATGAACAAAACATAGATATTCAAAGAATAGCCTGGAACGCTTAGTTTGTCTGTAAACAAAATGTTATTGGATTTTAATTCGAAGGAAAGCATTCTGATTTGTGTAATCTTTTTCTTGGTTAAAGCTATTCACTGAATTGCGACCTAATGCACAAACAGCTTTGTCTCTGAATATGTGTTTTCTAAAAGCAAATGAGCCTTGTTAAATATTGCCTGGGTTTCTATGCAACGTGCCATAGCACTCTGTACATAGGTAATTATGCTCTAGCTGCAGTCTTTTCCTTTTCAGGTATATGAGTGACACTCCTAACTTAACAAAAACTGAAGGGAACTCATGCATAGCGTAGCCATTTTCCCCAGTGATTTTCCACATGTTGAATGGGGTAAAGTGCTATTTGGTTTAATAATTGGAATAAAAATGTCTCGTTTATGTAAATGTTGGATCTCTATTATATTACATTGTTTTCTGAATTTTTAACCTAAACATTATTTGTTTTTATATTGCTATAATTTAGTCAAACTTAATTGGAATATTTTTCACTACTGAAATTAAATACACAGGAGTGTCCTGTTTTCCTGTGAAATATACTCCGTTTGTATGTGTTGTAATTCTTTCTCTGCCTGAGGGAATTTAACTCGTGTTCCTATAGTACTTGAGCATGGAACTGTTTTATTCTGTATGCATAATTAAAGCAGCCCCTGCTGCAGGGGTTGTGTGAGTTCCTCCTCTGCCAGCAGAGGAAGAGACCAAGCAGCGACTTCTAAACCTCTCTTACGTCTCATGTTCACTGTGTCCCCCTTATTTTCAACAAATCAGTGCTGTCTGTGTGTTATTAGTATGCTGTGGAGGTGACGGGAAACCTGCAGCCCTCTCCTAGGGAGGCTTTGCCCTGTGTTTCCCCACTGCTGCTGACTCTGCTGCTTCTTCCTTCACCCAGATGAAGTGATGGGGTGTGAGGAGAGGTACTGTCATTCTGGGCACCTTTTGGCCTTCACTGCTATGTTATCATGGTGCTGCTTGTGTGGAGGATGAACCTACTCATTTTCTGTCAGTAAATATTTCAGGCGGCTCTGACGCTTCTCTTTATCTTACTGCCCTTTCTTTTCCATCATATTTTTTGGACTTAAATGACAGTCAAGAGACAGATACCTGTCTTACTGTTCAGTCAAGTGCTCCAAGTCCTCAGCTCTTATCACCAATTACATTTTAAGTTTCAACTAGACAGGCTGTCTTGATCTCCTAATCTTGTGGCTAATGTGCACAAACTAATTGATGTGGAAACATACACATGTAGTACAGTTAACACCTATTTAATGTGCGGTCCTTCATAATGTGCTTTATTTTATAGTCTCTTGCAATCCATAATTCAGTGTAAGATTGGGCAGCCTGTTCCAGGGAGATGGAGGAGTCACTATCCCTGAAGGTATTTGAGAACTGTGTGCATGTGGCACTGAGGGACATGGAAGTCAGAAACCTGAAACTTGAGTAATGATTTTTATCAGTGTTTCAGCAGAAAACATGATAATGTGTGACAACAGAAAAGCTTTTGTTTGGTTATCTTCAGAATATTTCAATTACTAAAGTTCTAAGTCAGTCCCTTCAAGACAGGAGTGAACTTATTTTACTTGAGAACTTTTGGTCAGTAGATGGAACTAGGGTACCTGTTTTGTTATTTACACCATTTAGCATCTTGCATTCATACTGAGAAGGTAAATAAGGTATTTCATAGTTAATATAATTACTTGAAAAGTTTCAACAATCTGTCAAGAACTCCTTTCCACAAACTGAATTCCTAATACAGCAAGATACATATATATAATTTTCATAGTCTGTGGCAGATTTCAATGGTAAGTTGCTGGTGAGTAGGGGAGGGTTTTTCTATGCATAATTGTTTTGCTTTTGTTCTGTTGTTCTGACTTAAATGTTGACAATTTATCTTTGCTGAATGACACTGCAATGTCAGATACTTCTAGCTAGTATGTATGCATTTAGATGAGGAAACAGAACTATCATGATAGGTTTTCATTTTAATAAACACACAAACATGGCAATAGAAGTTAGTGTCTGAAGAAAACGTATTACCTGTTCTTATTGGTAATACAGAGACAATTTTTTGTGCAAAAAATGATGCTGCATATTCTGAGTATGTTCTAAGTATCTACGTCAAGTTCAACAGTGGAAATGTTCTGCCTCTTGTTGGTAATCTATGAATGACGCTCTAATATTACTGTGTGAAGGTGAATGTTATTTAGAAATATATAGAGGCAGATGGTAAGGAGAAGAGAGAATTTGAAGTAATAACCAAAAGAAGAGTAGCTGTGCAAAATATGTGAAGGTTTTGAGTTGGAGCTCTTGTTGCAATGAAGTAACTTGGTTTAAAAAAAAAAAGACGGATTTCAGAGTACAGTTAATCTGCTAGTCACATCAAGCAAAAGGAAGAGGAAATAGGAATGGAATAATACCATTAGGAACTGAATCTTACAGGTCAGTGTCTATATTCTGTAGTGCTTGTTTTCTTTCATTTTGAAAGGATCATGCATAAATTCATTTGCAGTGTATCTATTTTTTTGTCACTGACTCATCCTGATAAAAGTCTATCATTGAAGAGTTTCACGTCATAAAAAAAAATGGATTGTTTATAGAGTCACAGTTTTCCTGTAATTGATAAGACTGTAGTTGGAAGGTCTTCAAACAGTTAATATTCTTGGATTACTTTTTGTTAAATATGGAGCCAGTAATTGTGAAGGTGTTTATAAAATTAGAGGTTTTGGTGTACTGTATGGCCTCTTGCTTTACTCTTAACGGTAAACAGCTTATTGAAAAAATGAGCTGCTTAGGAAGCTTTTGTCATAACAATGACCTGAGGTCGTGCATACATATACTTGCAAAATCTATTTGAAGCCTGTCCTAACTTCTTGCCTACTTAGCTATGTTTTTAGCAGTTGATTTCCCATGAAAAAGTGAAGCCATGTTGACTTTGAACAAAACCATAATTTACCAGCTGTGTTCAAACCTGTTGCATAACAAAAAGCCTCTATTTTGCTGTCGGTACTGTGATGACTATACTATTTGATTTACTTTTACTGGAAAATGATTTCAGCAAGGTGATTTTGCTAGCTAGAGATAAGTGATCATGTAAGCCCAGTTGGAAGAATGTTGTTGACTTTCTTGCTGCACAAAAATCAATGAATATATCTTTAGAATTATTAAAGTGTGAGTGGCAGCTCCCACAGTAGATTTCTATGAATTTTGCCTAGTTAAATTTCATACTCTTCCAAAACTATGTTTAGCTTTCAAAAAATTTAGGGGATGGTCTTTGTACAAAATACAGATTCCATTATTGTCAAGGGAGGGGTGAAAAAACCCTATAAGTTCCTCCAATAGAGTATTTTCATGGTATCTTCTAAAGAATACAAATTATGCATTTGTTTTCTTGATACGTTTGAGGACAAACTTCGGTAGAACCAGGAATGTTTTTGGTAGGATTTTGGGGACCAGACTTTTGTCAGGGAGAAATACCATCAGTGCAGGTTTTTTTTTTCCAGTTTTTATTTTTTTAAACTGGATGTTAGAAGACAGTTGTATTTACATTAATATTCTGTTTTCATCCAGTTGTTCAGTAGTAATCCCAAGTATTTCTTAACATTCAAATTTGTATTCACCTGTCCTTGAGCACTAGAGTTCCTTTTGGCATGGTAACCTCTAGAAGTGCTGGCAGAATAGAGAAATGCTTGAGAGTTCCATTGTCCTTCCATAGATGTAGCATCAAAGGAGATTTTACAGGAGCAACAAATTCTTCGATGTTCCTTTGAACCACTGTTTAAAAAAATCTAGGTAGTTTATCTAGCACATTTATTGGAAGCTTTTCTTTGGCCACAGTTGATATGCAGTGTGTTTGTGGAGGCCTGTCGGTCTGCTCAGTGGAAACCTTTGTTTTAAAACTGGCTTCAGGTTTCTACTGCAGCACTATTTAATAACAGCATGTTGCCAACAGATTGAGAACAGGATGGTTTGGGGTTAAGTGTAAGATTAAAATGTCTCTTGCTTATGTTTAAACAAATACCTTCCCACGTTCGTTTTATGTTGTGTGCTATACGTCGTTGTACTTCACCTGATCTTATATGGGATGTTGAGCATTATGCATTGTCATGGACTTACCAAAGGCAGAATTACTCCACACCTTTCATTGAGAGATATACTTGAACAGTTTTGGGGTGATGAGCATACCCCAGTTCTCACCGATTTCTACTGAAATAGTGGAGATGGAAACTCAGGCTTAAATCTGACTGACTTTGCAAATTTTAAATCATCATTGGAATCAGGGTCAGATTTAATATGATTAGTCAAGAGAGACCAACTGCATTACCAAACAAACCTTCTCACTCAGTAAAAACATTGTCGTTTGAGAACACTTTCATTTGTGACAAAGACCTGTACCTTGAGTTTAAGACTGTTTAATGAAATGTACAGAAGGTGAACTTTGGTATGTTATGAGCAGCTGTGACAATGAATGTCTTTCAGTGGGTCACACATCTGCAGTTCTTAAAATTTGTTTTTTCTTGTTGTGAAGAGTTTTCTAACCACCATTTCGCTTGTTTTATTAAATTCCATGTATTTGGAATTTAACTGCAAAGTTCCTGCTCTGCCTTTGTGTTTCTTCACTGCTTTTATTTCTTGTTTTTCCTACTTTACAAATGTTTGCCTTTTATTAAGGAGAAACTGGCTTTACCAGTCAGTAACTGTCAAGCCAGGTGGAGGTGGAGGGCAGCATCCATTTGGCAGACCTTGAAGTCACTGATAAAGCTTTGTGTTCTGTCCAGTACTGCATATGAGTGAATCAGCCCTAAAGATTACCAAATGCCTTTATGTATTTTTCTTAGTTTCACTGCTCTTCTATGTATTGTCTTGTGTTAAGAAAACTGGTTCAGATGTTAGCAGGAGCTCTAGCCTGACTCACCTAATGCTTTTTCTTCTGATGATTCCCATGGAGAGGGGAAAGGT